ATTAACTGCAATGCTGTCTTCAAGATCTGAAAGTCTATCTTCAGCATTATTCAAGTGGCACTGCCAGACTTCAGTGGAAGTTTAGATTTCCTGGCCATCTCTTTGAATCTGTTTCATGCATTCTAGTTCTTTACTATATTGTTCGTTTAATGTTTCCTTCATTTTCCTGTGTTATTCTGTTTTTTTATATATGTCTTCTTTAGATGTACTGAGCAGTTCTTTCATTATTGTTCTCATTTCTTTTTTTGCCTGGGAGATTATTTCTGGTCTGATTTCTTCTGTGTCCTGATGGAATTGTTTCTTTACTGTAGTTGCAATCATTTGAGAGATTTCTGGTGTGTGACTTCCAATTTCTCCTTTGTCATTGTCTCCTGGACTTGTTCTGGTGGGTTGAGTTCTGAGATTGCATTTTGATCCTTCATCTTGTCATTTTGGATGTCAGAGGCTATGCACTGAGCCTCACACTTCCTGGGCAGGTCACCAAATGTCTCTAAGGACCCTAGTTTTCCTGGGTGTCAGACTTATCCCAAGATGGTTGTGGACATTGGGCCACCATCTCCTGGATCCCCAGGCAGTTGGGGGAGTGCTTAGCTCAGACCACAACCACAATGGCAGAGGAGTGCTGGCTTTCAGTACCAGGGTCTCCAGGCCATTGATGGAAAGTGTGTGGGCCTCAGCCATGAACCACAATGGCAGCCAGACATGTACCTCAACTCTGGGTTCCACAGGCTGCTGATTGAGCTTGGGCGGGCTGCATCTGTGACCCAAGAGATGGGCAGGACTAGGGCTGCTACTCAGGGGTTCGCAAGCTTCAGGTTGAGCATGCACAGGCCTCACCCAGGAACCAAGATGTCCCCCTCATCCTTCGCTTTTCAAATAAACTTTTAAAAATAGCATAATGTATTCATTGTGGGAAAGAGAGCTTCTGTCCAAGAAAAAAACAAAAGGGTCTTGAGTGGATTGCCAAGGACCCTACCTTTTCTAGGGACTTTGTACAGCAAAACCACAAGATGAGGCAGGTTCAAGGTGGGAAAAGATAGGAAAATATGAGATGAGCATGAGGTGGGACAAAACCATGTTCAACCAATAAGATCATGAGTAAAATTGATTAAATCGGGATCAAATAGGGAAGCAAGTCACATAGCAAGTGGGCTTTTTCTGTAGGGGGCTGGTTTAATGTCTCCTTCCTGGCTTTCTCAAGGTGATGGATGCATATTTAGAATATCAATCCCTGATGTTTATCCTTAGGAAGTACATGGTGCATGTGTTTTATCTTTGGTCTTGAGGTCTGGTCCACAGTGGAGATGCCTGTCTCCCCCACAGTTGCAAGGTATCTCATCTTCTGCACTGGCTCCTTTGAGGACCTAGCCCTATTGGACTGTCTATAATATTTTTATCTAACTTTGCTGCCTATATTCCCCCTTCTGAAGAAGTACCCTGAACAGCTGTGAGGAAATAATGGGCAATGACTGATCTGGCTTCTTCAGGCTGAAAGGGGTCATAATTGCTGATTAGGAGGAGAGATACTTCATAGAGGGTCTATCTAAAGGCCCTCAGTAGACACCAGGCATTTTCATCTTGGGTAGGCATATATTTTAAGTCTCAAGGAGACAAAGTCAAACAAACAAGTATGCATGGGCCAAATAATAGGATTAACAGGATAATTAAGAATATGGTCAAGGGGCTGGGGGTTTAGCTCAGTGGCACAGTGCCTGCCTGGCAAGCGCAAGGTCATGAGTTCAATTCCCAGTACTGGAAAAAAAAAAAAAAAAAGACTATGGTCAAGAAAGATTTCCACCAAGAGGAGCAGGTAATGGCTTCCCATAAACAGCATAAGGATAAAGTCCAGAGAATTTCAGAGTCTGACATGTCCTTGATTTGTCATTTAATATCTTGAACAGCTATTGAAATATTAGCAGAAGAAACAGGAATGTACACAAAACATTAGTTTTTACAATTGCACAAGTACCTCTGGTGCTGCTGTTAGAACATCTAATGTCATCTGATTTTGGAGGATGCCTTGTCTTATTAATTTTATTTTTTTATTTAGGATACAGAGAGACCAGCTGCAGTATCATTTAAGGCCTGATGAAATTAGTTAGTTAAGGTCTTGGTATGTGTCATATAACCTTCTCTGGAGAAGATCTGGTGGATCCTAGTAAATGGCATCAAAAAGGAATCTAGCATGTTTGTTATTGGTTTTATCTGTATGATAAATTGGGGGGTTGGCATCCTGTAGGCAAAAACAAATTTTCCAAGAATTTAGAGGATGTAGATTCAAAGTATGAGCATTAGAACTGAGAAATAAATTTAGAAACTGTCTTTAAGTGATAGCAACTGTAACCCACTGGCTCTTAGACCCCTTTACTGATGGAGTCTGATATTTTGTCATAAGTGCCTCCAGCTTTAGTTATAATTATTTCTAAAATTTTGATGACTTATGAGAACCAGATTAACACATTATTATGACCAAAACTGGAAGAAGTTTGGCCCTGTGTGACAGCATGGGTGGTTCAGAGAACTGAACTCTCAAAGAAAGACAGATATTGAATGGTGTTGTGTGAATGAGGAAACTACACTGGTGAGACTCATCGAGCCAGAGGGCAGAGCAGAGTCAACAAATTGAGAAAAGAAACAAAAATCCCCCACCCTGCACACCCCACAGACACCATGGCCTCATGAGCCCTGAGGAGAAGGTAAGAGATCCCTCCTTACCTGTGCCACAGATGCCAGAGTCTCACAGATCCTACGGGTGAGGAAAGAGACCCTGCCTTGACCCTGCCACAGACGCCAAAGTTTTGTGAGTCTTGTGCAGAGATACCCACAGCACAGGGTAACAGAGGTGACAGCCAAAAGATGGACCTGACTGAGGGTGAGACCAACACCCAAGAGGAGAGTTTTGCTTCAGAACTAAAGTGTTACCCTACCACTGGGTGAGGGACAGCCTTGGCACACAGGTTTGGAGAAAGAGGGAAAGAGAGAGAGCGTGCAAATTGGGAGCTCCTGGGACGCACTCAGAGGCCTCAGGCCAGGAGATCACAGGTCTTATGTGCTCTGGTGGGAGGCCAGGGTGGGTAGGTAATCTTCAGAGGGGACAGACCTGAAGGAGATGGCATTGAGCCCAGTGTTAAACCTGAGCTCCAAGGCTGACCCAGGAGTCATCCCCAACAATGGGGTTGTTGTTGCTGCTCCTGATCAGTGGCATCCTTGCTTCCAAACTTAGCAGCTACTGACAGGTGGGCCTGTCTGGGATGGCTCCAGTGTGACACTCACCTTCACACACACACTCACACTCACCTGTGAGTGTGGTAATACCAGAGTGAATCTCTTTTATGCACATGGGGAGGTTGTTCTATGCTGGCCATAGATCCACGCAGTCAGTTGAGAGCCTAGTGCCCATTTGTAAAATGGGAGAGAAGGAGAACAGCCTCCAACCCTCAGTTAGAAGCCTAACCCCACTTTCACCCCAACAGAGAGGATGAAATCCTCTCTTTGGTGACCCTTCTCCATTTCAGAACCTTCATTTCTGTGTTTATTTTCACAACCATGATATCCAGAAGCTTCACACATATTTCTTATGCTATTTCTAAGAGCTCAAAGCCAATAGGGAGCTGATACTGGGCACATACATGGGCCGTAGGTTTCTCATATCCCAAACCCATGTTTGAAAATTAACTATGGCTGAGCCTCTGCTTATCTTCAGCAAAACAAACCCCTTGAAAGCGCTAGGAGTGAGGTGAGGACAGCAGGCTGGAAATGAAGGTGACATTCAGAGAGAGATGTTAAGCTCAAGGCAGCACAGACAGAAAATGATGACCAGGCACTAAGTCAGAATCAACCCCCACAAAACTCAGAAACGAGGGCACCCAAGAGGCAACAATGGCTCAGAACTTTCTAAACAGAGAACTGGGGTGAATTCAGTCGTGAGAACGAAAAAAGGGAAGTACAAGAAGGGAATCGTTCAGTAAAGGAAAGCTGCATGAGAGTCAGGAAATGAGCCTCGTTTCCCATCTGTTTCCCCGCTTTCCCTCTGTGCTCAGCCCCACAACCAAGCTCTAGGTGGGCTGCAGTCAGGGCTCAGTGCATCCCTGCTCTAGTCCACCTGCTGCAGGAACCTGCATCCTCCCCCGAGCATCTCCAGGGCTGGGGAGGACTGTCACGGTGAGGATGATGGTGCTGTACACATGGAGGGGCTGAAAGAAGGAGGGGATTGTGGAGGACTCCGAGAGAAGGACCAGCCCTGAACACTGTCCCCTGGAAGGGCCCACCTAAGGAAGACATCAAGTCTATTCACTGCTGTGTCCCGGCCCTCAGTGAGATGAAGAAAAAGCAGGAAGATTGAAAAGGAAGGGCAAGTCCCACATCAGACATCTGCCTGCCCCAGACCAGACATGGAAACACAGTAGCCGGGCTGGTGGGGAGGGCATTGCCTGTTCATGTGGGGCGGTGCTGTGACAGACTCGTGGTGGGCAGAACCCAGTCCTAAAGTTGCCACATCGCCTTTGTCTATGGGGCCAGTGGAGCAGTGCACTCACATCTCTGCACACAGCTCTGAGCAGAGTTTGGAGAAGCCATGGCCCCCACCCTCACAGCCCTGCTCTGCCTAGGTGAGAGGGGAAGAGGACAGCGGATACCCTGGCCTTGGAGGGACCCCACCTCACAGCCAGGCGATGGTCCATCAGGAGACCCTGGACTCCAGAGGCTCCTGGGAGCAGAGGAGGGGCCCAGGGTCCAGGGCAAGCCTCTCACAGGGAACTCTCTTCCAGGGCTGAGTCTGAGTCTCAGGACCCGAGTGCAGGCAGGTGAGTGCCTCCAAAGCTTTCCCGGGTCCCTGCTCCTCCTGGGGACAAGGGGCCACCCCTGGGCAGTGGGGATCGAACACAGCAGGTGCAGACTTGTGTGGGGAGGTCTAGAGGGTCCTGAGGCTGAGAGCTGGGATCTGAGGGGAGAAGGAAGGTCCTGGCACCCAGCTGTGATTTCCTTGCAGTGATCCTCCTCAAACCCAGGCTCTGGGCTGAGCCAGGATCTGTGATCAAATGGGGAGAGACTGTGACCCTCTGGTGTGAGTGGACTCTGGGGGCCCAAGAGTACCATCTGTTTCAAGTGGGAAGCCAAGTGCCCTGGGAGACCCAGACCTCAGAAAAGCTCGTGAACGTGGCCAAGTTCTCCATCCCATCCATAACAGAAAAAAGTGCAGGGCGATATCATTGTTACTTTAGGAGTTCTGCTGCCTGGTCACAGTACAGTGATGTCCTGGAGCTGGTGGTGACAGGTGAGGGGACACTCGGGGACCCAGCCCAGGCTCGGCCCTCAGCAAGGGGTCTGCTCTCAGGGGTGTCCCCCTCTCACAGCCCAGCCCTGGGGACAGTGTGGGAGGTGTGAGTGCACTTCCCACGCTGCCTCCTTCTCTCCTAGGAGTCTCCAGCAAACCCAGCCTCTCAGCCCTGCCCAGCCCTGAGGTGACCTCAGGAGGGAACGTCACCCTCCAGTGTGCCTCACAGAGGGGATTTGACAGGTTCGTTCTGACTGGGGAAGGAGGAGACAAGCTCTCCTGGACCCTGGACTCACAACGAGGCACCAGTGGGCAGGCCCAGGCCCTGTTCCGAGTGGGCCCCGTGACCCCCAGGCAGAGGTGGATGTTCAGATGCTACGGCTATGACAGGAGCAAACCCCTGGTGTGGTCGGAGCCCAGCGACACCCTGGAGCTCCTGGTCTCAGGTAAGGGAGGCACAACCTTTCCTTTCAATGACTGTGAACCTGATTCAGCTCCAAGACAAGGCCAAGGAGATGAGAGGAGCCGGGATCCTGAGCTCAGTGACGGGGGTTGGGGGAGGGCAGTGAGACCCAAGATGGCGGGACCCAGTGAGACCGCGAAACTGACCGCTAGAGGGTGGGGGAGGAGAGGAACCTGTAAGTGGCTCCTCGCGTGTCCTCTGCTCTTTATGGCTCAGCATAAATGGCATCTGCTCAGCCCCTCACCGTGCACTGTGCAGCACAGACCGGACACCCTCTCCCCTGATTCCCCGCAGGGACGCTCCCTAAACCTCCGCAGGGGTCCTGTGCCTCTGTGCAGTGACGGTAACCCAGAGCGGCAGCATTCAGACTCTTTTCCTCCACCTCGGGGAGCCCAGCTCTGGTGGGGAGAAGCAGGCTGGAGGTCAGACTCCCCGGGCTCAGTCCCCACCTGCCCCTTCCTTCTGTGTGGCCCATGTGCCGGGATTCTCCCGAGGTTGCATGGCCCAGGCCCCAGCTTGACACCATGCCCCTGTGAGGGTCTCTGTTTCTGTCCCTTCTGAGCCCACAAGGTCACTCTGCGTCCTGTCCCAGCACGGGTCTGAGCCCCAGGAAGTGGTGGAGGTGGAGGGGAGGTCCACAGGGGAGCGTCTGTCCATGAGGAGACTGAGGCACACTGGAGCTCCCTGCCCGGGGCTCCCACCCTGACAAATCCCAAGGAGCTAAGAGAAACAAAGGGATACGGGAGACTCAGGGGACAGCAGAGTCAGTGGAACTGAACGGAGGGGAAAGACAGGGCCCAGCCCTCTCCTCTGATGTCCGCAACTCACAGGCAGCTCCACCGCCTCGACAACAGGCCCTGCCGCATGGGTGGTGGAGACACGTTCCCCTGACCCGTGGGAGTCCAGGTGTATCGCGGCACTGTTTGCAATTTTCAGGGCAGGGTCAGTCTCCAGAGGAGCAGGGAGGGAAGCCTTAAGGGAGCCTGGCGGCTTCCTAGGGCTCTGAGGACAGGGTGACTGCTGCCCTGGGGTCAGAGGGGTGGAGGTGTCTGAGTTCCTGGTAGGAAGGAGGGCCCTGGGGGACAGAGAGCAGCCTCGCTGGTGTCCAACTGTGTAGGAGGCTGAGCCCCCAGCAGGGCCGCTCCTGTAGAGAGACGCACCAGGCTGGGGGCACCGCGGGCACGGCCCCTCCAGAGCCATCTGGAAGCCTCTGGGTTAAGTGCACCCCTGAGACGAGGGAGGGGCCACGCACTGCTCCAGGTCACTGGGTCTCTGCCCAGCAGGGCGTGTCTGTGATTCTGTTGGATCCTACTGTGCACCTGCTGTTTAGAGTTTGCATAGTTTCTCTTCTTTTCTGAAAATTTAAAATAGTATTCAGAAGTTTAGTTTAAACGCATGCAATTATAGTTTAATAGTATATAATTCCACCTCAAACTTTCAGAACATTATAATATATTTACACATCAATTGTACATCTTATATAAAATATTTAAAAGTTAATTAATAAATTTTAGGAACATATTAATATTTTATTCATAAAGTCACTTATATTCATAGTCAATTTTAAGAAATGTTCAACTATTTTAATAATTTCACATTCAGATCCTGAGTACTTTATATTCCAAAGTATTAAGTGCTCATAGAAAAGGTATTGATTTACATGTATATATTTTATTTCATATTAATTCAGAATTTTCTCCATTATTTTAATATTATTTTCAATCACTTTAAATTTGCAAGTAGAATGTACATCAACCACAAGTAGATTCACATTGTTCTTTTTCCTTTTTTTCTTTCCGAGACAGGATCTTGCTATGTAGTGCAGGCTGACCTTGAACTCACTATGTAGCCCAGGCTGGCCTGGAACTCAGGCAGTCCTCCTGCCTCAGCCTTCTGAATGCTAGGATTACAGGCCTGCATCACCAGGCCTGACCCTGGAATTGTTCTTATTTCTAAATTTGAGACCACTTTTTCTGCTTCACATGTGCACATGTAGTTACACATATTTCTACTAGCATATAATCATGCACATAGGCAGCGATGACTTGCATAGACTGTACATGTCTGCATCTACAAATGTTCATATCTACAAGCATTCACCCATATTCCCAGTGTTGCTCAACTGGAACACTTTTATCTGTTTATTGCTGCTCATTCAACATGGATTCACACTTCTAAGAGGTAGAAATTCATTTCTTATAAAGCTCTGACATTACTGACATGTAGAACATACATATTTTACCAGTGTGTGATTGTGTGTGTGTATGTATGTGTACAACTCTGGGTTTCCTAAGGCATGGTAATTAGTTATCTAAGGAATAATTGGGTGATTATCAGGATCTCGACTGGGTGGTGAAGGAGAAGTAGCCCTGATTCACCCCTTTGTATCCCTGAGGTTCAGGAGCCCTGGACCCTGGACCCTGGGTCCTGCACTGGCGGATCAGGGAAGGCCCTCTCCTGGGGAGTCAGCTCACGTCCCTTGGTGCTCCTGAGAGAGCAGAGAGCATTCAAGGGCTCGGTTATTTCTGAACTCAGAAATAACCTGAACTCAGAAATAACTTATTCTCACCCACCCCAAGCTCGAGGAGCTCAGGTACCACTTGTTCCAAAGTGATTCAGACACAAAATCCATACTCAGGGGTCCCGGGGAGCATGAAAAATCCCACAAGGAGGCCTGAGGGAACTTGCTACAGCAGGGAAAGGCTCGTGCAAGACCCACAGAGCTATCTCAGGAGAAGGAGACACCGGGACGTGGGGCTCGGGCAGAGGCTCTGGTCTCTTCAACACTGCACATGTCCTGTGCCTCTTCCTTGGTTCTCAGGAGCAGCTCAGGCCCTCAGCCCATCACAGAACAATTCAGAGCCCCAGACATGGGGAAGGAGAATTCTCTGTTGTGGGGCTGCACACAGGGCCCAGTCCTGTCCAGGGGAAGCAGATGACTTGGGGGACAAAGAGGGACCCTGGAATCCTTGTCCTCTGTCCTGACCTCTGTGACCTCTTTGTCCCCACCGCCAGCCTCACGCTCCCAGGACTACACTGTGGAGAATCTCATCCGGATGGGCCTGGCGGGCCTGGTCCTCCTGGTCCTCGGGATTCTGCTGTGTGAAGCTCAGCACAGCCAAAGAAGCACTCGAGATGCCGCCAGGAAGTAAAGACAGCAGACAGCAGCCACTGCTCGGAGCGGTAGAGCCGTGGGAACACACCTGATGGTCTCAGAAGTTCCGGAGAAAATATGTTGCAAGCGGGGACTTCTGTTTAGCAAACGTCCAGGAGGCCATCACGTCCAGGAGGTTCGAGCACGGGGAGTCAGCAGGTGTGCGGCACGGAGCTCTTTCCCGCACGGAGGGCAGCGCTTCCCTCCCTCTCACTGCAGGCTCTGCGGACCGCCCCTGCTCTCCTCCTGTTCCGTATGTGAGGGGGCGCCCCAGGGGCCGGTTCGGGTCTCACTTTTGCACCCTTCGTGCCCTGTTCCACACTCATGTGACATTTTCCTTCACTGTAATTACAACTTTCCCCAGTTGTATGAATGAGGCCCCATCCTTTCAGCTGACAACCCGGAGTTGGTACAAATAACAGAAAAATGTGCAAAAATAAGATTCCAGCATGAAAGAAACTAATGCAGAATGATGTCCTCACACCCTTTCTGGGCCCCGAAACCCATGAGCCATCATCAGATGACCTTTACGAGGTTTTTCCTGAAATATAACGAGTTGGTCTCAACACTGATTTTTCACAGGGTCTTGCTAAGTTGCTATGTTACCCAGGCTTGTTTTGAATGTAGGATCCTTGACTCAGCCTCCCCCAGGGCTGGAATTACAGGCCTTTGCCACTACCCTTGGTCTGAAGAATCTGTTTTTAAAACAGTCGTGGCTCGTGGTGTTCCCCGAGTACTGTAAAATTCCTTCCATGGCCAACTTCAAAGTGCTGACGTCACGCCGCTGGCGCAGAGGTCAGAGCGGGTGCACAGAGCTGGGGTGTGCTCGGCCTCACTTCCCTGTTCACTGCGGGGTTCAAACAACTGACTGTTATACTAACCTCGCTATCACCACATGTTAGTTCCAGGAATTTTTACTTTTTGATCAAATCTTTTGGAGTTTCTACATAGACACTTGCACCATCACTGAACAAAGACTTTTCTATTTGTTTCTTCTGCCCTGTGCATCCGCCTTTCCTTGGTGCGAGTGCACCAGCCAGGACACGCGGGGCAGGGCTGGGGCGGGCTGGGCGAGGCCCCTCCTTGCCCACTTCCTCTTCCCAGTGGGGAAGTTCCTGGTTTCTCTTCATGAAACAGGCTGCTGGCTTCTTCCTTCTTTTCTAGTACTAGAATTGAACTTAGGGCCATCACGGTGAGATTTATCCCCAGCCTTCTTAAAGCTATTTTGAGACAGGATCTCACCAAGCCTTTGAGTTGCCCGGGCTGGACTTGGACTCGAGATCCTTCTGACGTGGACTCCCCCTGTGTTGTGATAGTGGTATGAGCCATTGCATCAGGCGTTTTTGTATATATTCTCCATCAGTCTGAAGATGTTCTCCTGTTTACCTAATTTAGTAAGAATTTTTTAAATTAATTGTGTTTCTACATTTTAGATGTACATAGTGATCACACTCACTAGAGGAAGTTTGAACCTGCATGTGATGTTTCTTGATTCTTCTTTTTCCCCCAACCCAGCTCCTCCCTTCCAACCCTCTTATCCCTCCGTATTGATGAGAGCTTTGCTTTCATTTTTTCCTTTTACTCTTTTTTCTTTTCTCTTTCTTCATTCCTCTCCCCTCTCCTTTGTTACCCTTTCCCATCTGAATGTTTTCTTCCTTTTTCTTATTTTTATATATTTTGGTCCTCATATACCCTTTAGGTTTCTCCCACTAGAGAAACAATGTGATATTTAAGCACGTGTGTCCAGTTTATTTCATTTCAGAGTATGGACATGTATCCACCTTCCTTCCTCCCCCCCCACCTCCTCCCTAGTGCCCCTTTCTTTTGAATAATTTCTTCTTATTTCACAATACCTTCCATACACTGTTGCTGCTTATTTACACATTCAGTATCTCACACCAGTGAAATAGTGTGATATTTACAGGTGAGTCTGATTTATTTCACTTAAGAGTATGTTCTCAAGGTACATCCTTTCACCTAGAAATGTTTCAAGTTTATCCTTCCTTATGGCTGAGTAGTAGTCCGTTTTATAAAATAAACAACACGTCTTCTTTATCCATCCCTTGGTTGCTGGGCATTTGTGTTGTTTCCAAGGTTTGTTACAAACTGTGCTGCTGTCAACATGGGTGAGCATATATCACTGTGGCATGATGTCTTTAATTCTTCTGGGACCTACTTTCCCTTCCAATAGATTTAGTGTTTCTGGTTTAATATTGAGATCTGTGAACCATTTTGACTTGAGTTTGGTGCATGGTGATAGGCTTGGGTCTATTT